CTTTACAAACCAGGCTTTCCCGGCCATCCAAATTAGTGCAAATCTTAATTCAAATTAGCTTAAATCCAAGTAATTTTAGTTTGTTGGTCTCGAACCAGCGAATGCATAATCATTTGATTTCTATTAAGGATTTTAGCTAGTGATTCCAATCAGTTGTTACGAATAATATTGTTTGTGTAATAAAAGATCTCAATAATTTAAAAAAAAATGAAAATAAAATTACTTTATTTAAAATAATCCTAAACTAATCACAACCAGAGAATTTTCTCGCCAATAGTACGTTTTAAAGTTAGTTCTCAAAAGAGAAAGCTGTTTTGTTAACCCTAATACTTGTTTGTTTACGTTTCTATTTCCAGATTATCTTAAATGCTCCCGTAGACGATAAACAGTTTTTTTCCTTTGTCTTTAATTCCAACACTGCAAGTTAATTAAGATAATACGTAGGTCACTTAAGATGAAAAAATAAAAAGTTAAACAAGCGAAAGTTTCTTTTGTTTCCTTTTTTTTTTTGAATTTCATAATAGTCAAAGATTAGAGCCAAAGGAGAATTCTTAAAGCACTAAAAATTAAAATTAATATTTGCTAAACTATTTATTTGTTCGAAACTAAATGTAAAGTAACTGTGTTTAAAATTAGAAGTATAGATAATGAAGAAATCTCAGAGGTACACTGCCGTACCACAATTTATGGGCTTAATTTTTTTAAATTAATTTACAAATTAGCTGGTTTGCCGATTCACTGATTCGCTAATTTATTTATTCTCCTATTCCTTTATTTACTTACTATATGAAGAATCATTATAAATAAAGACATATTTTAGTAAGCCAAACTTAAAAGGAAAAAAAACAGGCATATTTGCTATGTTATTATAAGAATGGTCATGGAATAATAGACTATATTCTATTCAATATTCTATAGAAGACCTTCTGGACGATTTTTTTTCAAATACATAAATAATTTATTTGTTACAAGTAAAACTATTTTTCAATATTATACATAGTATTGAAAAAAAAGGAGTGCAAACTAACAAGGAGTAAACTATGAAGTTTCAAATTCAGAATTTCTTTTTTGTAACTGGAAACAAATTATGGCATGATAAGCTGCTCTTATAGCAAAGGAGATCGAGATATCCAATTTTTTGAAAGGTAGGCTTCTTAATTTTTATCAGTTGCTGAAAATGTTTGCTTAAAAATATTTGCTTGCCGAAAACATTGCAACAGTTTGCTTTGATAAGTACTTTCTATAGGGCAATATTTTTTAATACTTTTTTTAATATTTTTTTTAAAGAGAAAATTGAAAAGAAGAAATATGAAATTGTAGATATTGTTTTTCGAATTTTCGACATCTGCATTCTGTTACGAAAATAATTACGTAATCATTCATGAAAATAAAAATAAGTTTAAATAACTGCAACACATGCGGGAAAAATTCGAAATCATTACTAGTTTATTACACTTTCATTCGGCTTGTCTACTTATTTGGAAGTATTGATAATCGTCTGAATAAAATTACGATTGGAGCAAACGATATTTAAATATATTTCACAATGAGATCCCTGCAAGTGACGTAGTGTGGGTATCTCGATCCTGATTGGTTGTTGAAACGTGTCATTTGTTTATGTTAGAAACTGTTCTTTGCATTCTATTTCGAGTAAGTCCAGTCCGTCAAGCATCAATTATCCTAAGAGACAAATTTTAAATTCTTTTACAAATATTCTTTCTCAAAGATTTCAATCCTTTCACTATATATTTATACCGAGACTTAACACAAAGACAGACACGAGGCCATGTGGAACATAAAAAAACTAATTATTCATCAAAGTTGACAGGTACACAAAACAAAAATAGGTCACGGTTACAATAAAATACATAAACAAATAATAAATCCTAAGTTAAGTAAAAGAAGTAGACGAGAAAGAATTATATTTCAACTTGTTCAAAGTGTGAAACGGCTCTGTATTTATTTAAATTATCGTTAATTAACATTCTAACTTATGTGGAGAAACCTAGCTTCACTTTAACACGCCATTTTACTGATAAAGATTAGCTGACGCTGACGTCATAGGTCACATGTGTGGGTATGGGAGGTCTTCTTCTTCTTGAAGGGGAAGTATCCAATTATTATAAAATTATCGCGCGGTGATAGCTTGACAGTTAAAAACTCTGAGCTGTCATTGTGCATAACTAGGGTTCGATTCTCAGTGGCAGTTTGAAGCTTACCCAGCTTCAGTCGATTGGTCCCAACTTGCCTGGAGAGTAAAGGTGTTATCGTGCGCAATACTGACCACATTGTCCGTTGGTCACGACATGGTTGAGCCGTAACCTCCATAAATCTCTTGGTCTACTATGTACTGTTTCGAGAATGATTTCTTTTAATTATTGATATGATTTTAAACGCTTAAATACTTATCACCATCAGCTTAGATGGCCTTGTTTAATGCGTGTGACAATATTTTATACTTTAGGCAAAAATATGAAAAGGATACTGTATTTTAATGTGTAGAAAAACTCGAAATGACGATTTTCTAAAAGAAATAAGTAGAATACTTAGTTTTCACGGTAAAAAAATTTATAACCTACAAAAAGGACTCAATATGTTTTTCATGTTTGCTGATTTCTTCAAATCATTAGGAGGGAATACCTCATAACCAAAAAAGAAACTAGCTTTTTGGAAAGAAATTATGCTCTTTTCATAATCGTTTTTTGATTCTCAGTTTCATATTTTTTTTTCTAAGTTATAAAAAGAATATGAAACATCAAATACATTTGGGATTATTCAAAAAACAAATTGGTAATTTATTCCGTAAATGGTAGCGCTTTTGGAATTATTTTCTACATTTGTGCAAAAGAAATAAGAAATCGTTTGTAATATAAGAAAGTAAGAATATATTAATAGCTTTCTATTCTCGCCATTCTTAATTTATTTCTGCTCAGTAATTTTTTTTGAAAAAATTAATAAATATCGTTTACGATTTCTGCTATGTAATTGAGTAATATACATTTATTTGTTTAATTATATATTTAAGATTTATTTTTATTTAAACTGAAAGTAAGCGGATTGCACGAAAAGAAAATAATTTCTTTCAAATTTTTACTACACTATTCAAATACTTTCTTTCAAATTTTTACTACACTACACAAATTTTTACTACACTTTACTAAAAACTACTTTTTACTACAAATCTAATTTTTCATTCAATTAGAACGTAATTATCATTCTGGACATATCTACTGATCTTTCTTTTTATTTTTTATTTCCAACAGCAACACTTGATGTGCACGTCATTTACTGGAGTATACAAACACTCCTAACAGACCCATAAACAATAACAACAAAATAAAGAAATAAAATATTAAAACTTTCGAAATACAAAAACAATTAGAACAAAGGAACGTTAAATCGATTATCAACAATAGAAATTCTATTTAATGTTTCTTTGTTCTAATTGTTTTTGTATTTCGAATTTTTTAGTGTTTTTAATTTTTTACTACTTATCTTATCTAATTCTTCATTCAATCCGAACGTAATTAACATTCTGGACATATCTACTAATCTCTCTTTTTATTTTTTATTTCTAGCATTAACACTTGATTAACATCATTTGCTGGAGTATAAAAACACTCCACACAGACCCATAAGCAAAAACAAATTTAAAAAAAAATTGGAACAATCGAAATGCAAAAAGAATTAGAACAAAGGAACATTAAATAGAATATCAACAGTAGAAATTCTATTTAATGGTTCTTTGTTCTAATTGTTTTTGTATTTCGAATGTTTTAATGGTTTTAATTTTTTACTACTAATCTAATCCCTCATCCAATTCGAAAATTTTTTTTCTAAAGAGAATCTCCTGGATGTATTAACTTCAATTAATCAGGTCTACGAATCTTTTTTTTATTTATTGTTATTACTTCCAGCAACAACACTTGATGTGCAAACCCGTAAGGAATAACAACAAATAAAAAAAAAATTCAAAAACATTAAAACATTCGAAATACAAAAACAATTAGAAGAAAGGAACATTAAATCGAATATCAACAATATAAATTCTATTTAATGTTTCATTGTTCTGTTTTAATGTTTTTAATATTTTACTACCAATCTAATTCCCTCAACCAATTCGAACGTTTTTTTTCCTAAGGAGAATATCCTGGATTGTATTAACTTCAATTAATCAGATCTATGAATCTTTTTTTTATTTTTAATTATTACTTCTAGCAACAACACTTGATGTGCAAACCCGTAAGGAATAACAACAAATTAAAAAAAAATTAAAAGCATTAAAACATTCGAAATACAAAAACAATTAGAACAAAAGAACATTAAATTGAATATCAACAACATAAATTCTATTTAATGTTTCTTTGTTCTGTTTTAATGTTTTTAATATTTTACTACCAATCTAATTCCCTCAACCAATTCGAACGTTTTTTTTCCTAAGGAAAGTATCCTGGATTGTATTAACTTCAATTAATCAGATCTATGAATCTTCTTTTTATTTTTTATTATTACTTCTAGCAACAACACTTGATGTGCAAACCCGTAAGGAACAACAACAAATTAAAAAAAAATAAAAGCATTAAAGCATTCGAAATACAAAAACAATTAGAACAAAGGAACATTAAATCGAATATCAACAATAGAAATTCTATTTAATGTTTCTTTGTTCTAATCGCATTTGCATTTCGAATGTTTTTACATCTTTAATTTTTTACTACTAATCTAATTCCTCATAAAATTCGAACATTTTTTTTTTTCTTCTAAAGAGAATCTCCTGGATTGTAATGGGGTTTGACCCTGGGGATCATTGATGTTTGTTGATGGTGTGAGAATATGCATTCCTTCCTCCCTCACGTGCATGCCTGTGGGTGCTTCTAAAGTAGGTGATGTTCGAGAACGCGCCCTCCTCAAAATAGAGCCGTCTAAGGGGGTCCCTCTCCCACGCCGACTGAACGATTCCCCCTCCATTTCATATTTGGTTGTGTGTGTACCCGAAATAGCGCTCCATCCTCCTTCAACCCTATATGGCAGAGGCAAGGAATCCTCCTTCGCTATCCCATTTTTAAAGCCCAGCACACACCTCGAAATCCTCACTCTCAACACTCTTGCAGCAACAGCAGCAGTTGTTTCTCTCTTCGCCGCTCCAAAGCCAACGGTAATTTGGATTAATACCCTATTGGATTAACCTTTTTTGTGAATGCAGTGCTCAAACCTGGATCATTAGGATTAATCGAACGTAGGATTTAAAATTTCCGAAATTAGTTAAGAATTTTTCTTTTTCAAAATTAAATTTCTGATCAATTAATATAGAATTCAAAGTTACGAATGAGCTTTTAAGGATTTTTTTAAACTTTGAGATTTGCCAGATCAAATTTCAGATTGAACTGTAAAAGAGTACGATTCTTAGTTTAAAATCTGCTTTTTCGTATTATTCTGTTAAAGATTTACCAAATTGTGATTAAGAATTTTTTTCCAAATTATATTTCTGATCAATTAATATAAGTATAGAATTCAAAGTTACGAATGAGCTTTTAAGAATTTTTTTCAGACTTCGCCAGAACAAATTTCTGATTGAACAGTAAAAAAATTCGATTCTAAGTTCAAAATCAGCTTTTTTCGCATTATTCAGTTAAAGATTTACCGAATTAAAATTCTGACTGAAGAATTAACGTATCGGATTTGAAATTCCAAAATTTTTTTTAATGACATTTCTTGTTACATGGAATTTCTCATTGAATAGGATTTTAAATACCGAGTGTTTTTTTTCCCGGTAGTTCTTGCCTTATTAAATTTCTAATTCTATAGTAAATATGTGGGGTTTGAAATTTCGAATTTTCCTTTTCTGAATTTTTAGTCTTAAAATTTGTGATTAAATTTTTGAAATTTTCTGATTGAATAGTGAAAGTATATGGTTCTAAGTGACGATTTTTTTCTTCTTCTTTTTTAAAGTTTAATTTAATTTATCAATCTAAACTTTTGATTGAGTAAAAGATTCAAAATTCTGAAATTCTTAATCGGACCATTTAGCCGACCCATCATCGGAATTTTAGAATTTGTTAAAATTTCAGATTGAGTTTAGCATTTAAAATTCCAAAATTTTCTTTTACGACTTATTACTTCCTTTGGATTTCCCAGTCTATCTTTTTTTGTGAATATTTTGAACCCGTGAAATCGTTGAAATTAAGTATAAGATTCGAAATTATTTTATTGCTCAATTTGGATTTGAAAATTTCGTGAGATTGTGCTATTGATTAAATGATTATTCAGAATAGTATAGCCTGTAAGATTAAATAAATATATATGTACATTTGCTTAGGTTGCCGAATTTTGCCATTAAGATTTGCAAAAGCCATTATTTGGTTCTCTGATTGATTTATAAATCGGAAACATTAAGATAAAATAAATAGAATTTAAATGTTTAAACTTCTTACGATAATTTCTGAAAACTTAATAGATTTCTCGATATTTCAAGTTTAATTAAACATTTCTGATTTTCGTTGCTGCCATTTATAGTATTCAAACTTAATATTAAAAACATTTTGAATTTCAACGAATCCGTTCGAAAAGTTTTTAATTCTTATCATTCGAATTTTTTTTTGTTGTTAAACAATTAACTGATTTTTTTAATAATATTTATTTTGTTGAAAGAAAGTTCGTGAATGATCCATTTAATCTTAATTAGTTAGAAAGTTGTACTAATGTATGGCAGCATTCCGGATATAAATCACATGACAAATTTAAAGAATCGAAAACTATTCTTTAGTCAAAATATGAGGATGGAATTCTTCTTTCGAAATATTCTTTAGTCAAAATATGCGGACGGAATTCTTCTTTCGAACTATTCTTTAGTTAAAATATGAGGATGGAATTCTTCTTTCGAACTATTCTTTAGTCAAAATATGCGGATCGAATTCTTCTTTCGAACTATTCTTTAGTTAAAATATGAGAATGGAATTCCTTCGAACTATTCTTTAGTCAAAAAATGAGGATCTATGGTTTGTGCACTAGAAGAGACAGTTTTTATTTTTTTACCAAACTATAATTTTGTATTACTGATTTCAGATAAGCCATGTGTGACGACGACGTTGCCGCTCTCGTAGTTGACAATGGTTCCGGTATGTGCAAAGCCGGATTCGCTGGAGATGATGCACCCCGAGCTGTCTTCCCCTCCATCGTTGGAAGGCCCAGACATCAGGTCAGTCTTTAAAAAATACTCCACTGCTATATTTAAATCATAAACTGTCTTAAAATTCAAAAAAATATTAGTTATACTGGTCTTACAATATTTAGAACATAAATTGTTAAGTTTTTAAAATTCAAATATTATTTGAAATTAAAAATGAATTTAAATTTTACTGGTCAAACAGTGTTTCATATTTTGAAAGTGAATCCTTTAATTTAGAAAAAAAGCCAGTGCAGTCTTATAAGACATTGCAATGTTATATTTAAATCACTGTCTTAAAATGCAAAAAAAAAAAAAAAAAAAAAAAAAAAAAAAATTACATTATACTCTTCTTACAATATTTAGACCATTAATTGTTAAGATTTTAAAATTCAAATATTAAGTATTATTGGAAGTTCAAAAATGAATTTAAATTTTATTAGTCTCACAATATTTCGTATTTTAAAAATAAACATCTAATCCTTTAAATTTAATGCATAAAACATCAGCAAAGCAGAAACGTAATATAAATTGAACTAGTCTCATAATTACAATGCTAGACAATATTTAATGCTAAAAAATAAATATAAATTGTACCAGTCTTGTTAAATTTAATACTGAACTATGCATGTAATTTAGGAAATAATTGTAAGCTTTTTTTGTCATACTATTTCAATATTTAATACTTAAAAATTAACACAATTTGTAAAAATCTATGACTGAAATATTTAACATTTAGCTTTCAAAAGTTAAACTGTTTTAGTTAAAATTTATACTGAAGAATACTTAATATTAAAAAATAATTGCAAATTATACTGAGACCAGTGACTTACACCAACAAGCTTCGCTTAATATTCATTTGCTGCTGGAAGTTTATTTGTCGCTAATTAAATTTAGAAGGAATAACAGGACGTGTGACGTAGGCTGTGGTACACCCAATTGAAAAGTCACCCCGAGGCAATATTGTTTGTCTCATAAACATTTTTAATAATATTAATCCAGATAGAAAAATTTCTCAATTTTAAAAGTTTTCAAACACTTATCCATTCCGATAATTCCTTAGAGCAAGTTAATAAAATTGTTATTTAGCTTGGAGTTTAAAGACACTTTCTTATCTGTCCATGATGCTAATAATTATGTTTCTCTTCAGGGTGTGATGGTCGGTATGGGTCAAAAGGACAGCTACGTAGGAGATGAAGCCCAGAGCAAGAGAGGTATCCTCACTCTCAAATACCCCATTGAACACGGTATCATCACCAACTGGGATGACATGGAAAAGATCTGGCATCACACCTTCTACAATGAACTCCGAGTAGCCCCCGAAGAACACCCCGTCCTTCTTACAGAAGCTCCCCTCAACCCCAAGGCTAACAGGGAAAAGATGACACAAATCATGTTTGAAACCTTCAACACTCCAGCTATGTACGTCGCCATCCAGGTACGGTAAACAGTTCTTTTTTCATTTTTTACAAAAACACCTTAATTTCACAACCACACATAAACTAAAGAAAATCAAATTAAAATACCTGTAACGGGTTAGTGTGAACCTTAAATCCAAAGCAAAAACTATTCTCATAAAAAATCAGTAACTCTCTGTTGTTCCATAAATTGTTCCATGCTTTCGTTTTTAATTTATCTCGTTTTAATTCATGCTTTTGCTAGCCAGATATTTTTAGACTCAATAACGGTAATTATAGCAGATTTTAAAGTTACCGGAATTTTAAATTTGAATTGAAGTAGCATTGATTTTTTAATTGAAGTATCATGCGAAAATTTTATTTTCTTGAATAATGTCAAGCAAAATTCAAAACACTTTAAGTAAAAATTAACCAGTAAATAAGAAGTTTAAGTTCAAAATGAAAACAGTTAAATAAATTATTGTTATTTTTAAATTATCTCTTTAAAAAATGTACTTATCAAAATATTTAAGCAAAAGTCGTACTCATTTTTCTAGTGTAAAAACAAAAATAATCTTGCAGAATAACAGAAAATAGTGTAAATTTTATAGAATTATTTTTTAAATTCTGAATCATAAATATTTACAAAGCGCAATTAAAATAATCCCTGAGAATCTCAGAAAACAGCTAATCTCTAGGAATCTCAGAAAACAATACAAATATTATCAAAGAATATTATTAAATATCTCATTTCAATAAAGCTCCTTTAAGTGCTCTTAATATAAAAATTATTGTGTTTAGTCTAAAATGAATATATAAAAAAGATAATTTTCAATTTTAAATGAAAGTTAAAAAATTAGAAATTGAAACTATAGTAATTTATTATAATCGGTAGCGCTTCTAACTGATGGCAAAAGTAAATTTATATTATATGTATTGATGGCAATAATAAATTGTTAATTTTTGAAACAGGCTGTATTGTCCCTCTACGCTTCCGGTAGGACCACCGGTATTGTGTTGGACTCTGGAGATGGTGTATCCCACACAGTACCCATCTATGAAGGTTATGCTCTTCCTCATGCCATCCTCCGTTTGGACTTGGCCGGCCGAGATCTCACTGATTACCTGATGAAAATCCTCACAGAACGTGGTTATTCTTTCGTCACAACAGCTGAGCGGGAAATCGTAAGAGACATCAAGGAGAAGCTTTGCTATGTCGCTTTGGACTTCGAGCAGGAAATGGCCACCGCCGCCTCCACATCCTCCCTCGAGAAGTCCTACGAGTTGCCTGATGGACAGGTCATCACCATCGGCAATGAGAGGTTCAGGTGCCCCGAAGCTCTCTTCCAACCATCCTTCTTGGGAATGGAATCTTGCGGTATCCATGAGACCACCTTCAATTCCATCATGAAGTGCGATATTGATATCCGTAAGGATCTCTATGCCAACACTGTACTCTCTGGTAAGTATCATATTCTATTTCAAATTAATTCTACTTTGCAATTCCCCTCTCTGAATCTTTTAGCCTTCATGAATTCTACTCTGTAATCATATGAAGATGAATCCCACAATTTAGCAATTTCAAATTTGTAACTTTTAGATATCGTCTGCTTAAGATGTACTTTAAAATTTTTTTAGTTATCATATTCCATGGAATTAATTTTAATACTACTTTGTATGCAGAGGAATTCCACTCTTTGAAACTTTTAGCTTTCACATGCTTGAGTCGAATTCCACTTTATAATCATATGAAGATGAATTCTACAATTTAGCAATTCCAACTTTGTAACTTATAGAAATCGTCTGTTTTAGATGTACTTATTACAATCGTCTGCTTAAGATGTACTTTTGAAATTTTTTTAGGTATCATATTCTATGGAGTTAATTTTAATTCTGCTTTGTATACAGATGGATTTCACTCTTTGAAACTTTTAGCGTTCATATGCTTGTGACGAATTCCACTCTGCAATAATATGAAAATGAATCCCACAATTTCGCAATTTTAACTTTATAACTTTTAGAATTCAATGTCTAAGATGTATTTACTACAAACGTCTGTTTAAGATATACTTTTAAAATTCACATCTGAAGATGTACTTTGGAGCTTTTAGAAATTATATGCCTAATGGCAAAAAGTTCTAAGTCGTCTGTATCTAAAAGTTCTAAATAGCAATCTTAAAAATAATTTGGCAATCGTAAACTTATCATATACGTATAGGTCGTAATTTTTAAATTTACCACGAATTCTATTTAGTAACTTTAAGCTATCATAAGCTTGTCATTATCTATAGTAAGTAATTTTATAAATTTATTATGCTAGTAGTTTTTGATAATCGTTTGTGAGTAATTTCTGGGAACAATTGATGATGATATCCATCAGTTAGTATAAAAATTATTCCTTTACCTAAATTGAAACAAGTTTCTTACTTCATTTTAAACTTTCTTTCTTAAATTGGTTAGTACATTTGATAAATACTTCGTTTCAACTAACACAAATTATTTCAAAACTACATTTTTTAATATGGCTAACATTAACTTTGTTTTCTACTTTCATTATACTGAAAATCGAAAAGATCACATTTTTCTTACAAATCATCAGCAAAAATTAAGCAGCCAGGGAATGGAGAGGCGTAATTTTATTGATTTCAAATGAAATATAAATGGTGTTTCTTAATTTTTTTTAATTCTATTTAAAATATCAATGTTTAAAATTTTTTTTCTTTCCTGAAAACATCCTTATTTAAATGCTGAAATTTTATATAATACTCCTATCGGTTGCCGTAGCTGTCAATTAGTAGGCTGTCCTATAGATAACCCCTATTTATTTATAGCATAGCTATCGTGCTAAAACTCAGAAATTTTAGTGATTTCAAGATTACTCAGTTATGAAATTTTTGAAAAATAATTTTGATTATAGATAATTTATGATGATTTAATTCTTCTCCTACAGGTGGCACCACCATGTACCCAGGTATTGCTGATCGTATGCAGAAGGAAATTACATCTCTTGCCCCAAGCACCATGAAGATCAAGATCATTGCACCACCTGAGAGGAAATACTCCGTATGGATCGGAGGTTCCATCTTAGCCTCACTCTCCACCTTCCAACAGATGTGGATCTCAAAGCAGGAGTACGATGAGTCTGGACCATCCATTGTCCACCGCAAGTGCTTCTAAACAGAACTTGTATTTAATTACGTGCGTAAATAATCAATCAAAAAACTGCTCAGTGTTTATCCTGCTGTTTTTTTTTCTTCAAGAGAACAACTGTCCTTCGATGATGCTGTATAATAAAGTTTATTTATTAATCTAATTGAAGATGAGGTGATATTTATTATTTCATTTGTAAGAACTATTTAAGTTATTCTTTTCAGGAAACAGCAGTTTGTTCGTGTTGGCGAGACTTTTAACTGACTTGATATAAAAGAAATATGTTATACATTTTTTAAACTGATCAAACCATTTTTAAAATAGTACTTATATATACATATATATAAAAATAATATTTTAAATAAAATTATTTATCTTGAAATTTGTTTTATTTTGAATGTTCCACACATGCAACAGAAGTCAAAAATGGAGTATTAAATGAGCTAATACTTGATATTTCAGGATTTCAATTTTTCTAAATTTAAAGAGAGTAAAGGAAACTAGATTAGGGTTTTAGAAATAAAACTAAATTATTTTTAAAAATAGTTTTAAGATGTTTATTCTTCACCAGTTTTTATGACAAATTTCAAATTAGATAAATTAATTTTTCAACTTTAAATTCTAAACAAAATACATTTTAAGTTTAAAACAAAAAAATTCTTATGAGAAGAAGAAAAAAATGCAGAGTGATAGTTTTAAATTGATGAAAGCCATTTTTTTACACTTAGCAATTTATAGTTTTTTTTTAAAACTTATATTCCATATAATTATTACAAGTTTGCATTTGAAATTTCGTGTAAATCTTGGATCTTCAACTTGGTGGCATTGTAGAAGCATGCGTTTCTACTATCCTTAATATAGCCGTGTAAAGCTGAAGTGAAATTGTCAACATTCTTATCATATTTCTCATAAAGAATATGCTTAAATTAACTTTTAAATTCTGCATAACTTAAATATAAATAATTAGTTACATTAAATCGATTAACTAGCTGCACTAAAAGTGCATTAATACTCATAATTTATTAAAAAACAGGTTATCAAAGTTAGAAACAGAGCAAATTTTTTAAAGCAAACTATTCCGAAAATGGCTAATTACCGAAATCATTTTCTAAATTTTAATTTAAACTGTTGTGGTTCGTAGTGTTTTAAAAAGACTTGAACATCAGAAACATGAAGGCATAACTTAAATATGAATAATTAGTTATATTGAACGTGCATTAATATGCATAATTTATTGAAAAAACAGTTTATCAATGTCAGAAATAGAACACATTTTTTAAAGCAAACGATTCTAAATATGGCTAATTTCCGCAATCATTTTCGAATTTTTAATTTAAACTGTTGTGGTTTCTGTTGTTTTTATAGGACATCAAGCAGCTTTTTAACAAACTATTCTATAGCAACGCTGCAGCAATAAATTTGAAAACTTCTTTTAACTTAAAGGCATACGGATGCACTAGTACAGTTACTGAAAAAAGTGTATTTATATATTAAAGTGAATCAGTTTATTAAAAGCAATAAAGGGGAAAAAGGTCATGCTTTTTCGAGCAAACAATTCTACAAATAACAATTTTTGTTTTTGATAAAAGAAATAGCTTTTTGAGTAGTATCTATTTTAATAGTAACAATACTGAGCTAAATTTGAAAACTGATAAGAAAATTTCTAATTAAACAAGAATTAATGATAAATATTAATTAAAAAACATTCAATAAGGCGTTTTATTATGTTTCTCATAGAAAATATAAATATTGAGCTTGCTTTAAATTTCAACATTAGGCACAATGTCAAACCTGTCAAGGTTTCTTATAACATAAATAAGTAAAGTGATACATTTTACACGAAAATGACAAAAAACTTAATTTTTTAAAAATATATTTTAAAATCTTGTCAACAGCAGTTTTCGTTGCAAGCAGGACTAATACACATACATTACTAATACATACCACTCAAAGCATGCAAATGTTTCCAATGTCACATTTACCATTACATTTGGACAATACCATCTTTACGCATGGACACACCCGGGCAGTGCCATGCACTCAGGGGTTCCTTGAGAATCTTTCTTTTTATAAATTGTATTAAAAAAAAATCTAAGAATAAACAACATTGGCCTATATATTTTTTAAAATAAATTCTATTATATAAAGTGTGAATTTTTTTCTCTACAAATAGTGATTGATTATCACGCATCAATAATTTGAATAGTTTGTCACCAAGCATCAATAATTTGAATAGTTTGTCACCAATTTGTTTTTCTACATTTCAATAAAAATTTTTAGGTACTTAAGATTTGACAACTGTTTAGTTTGACAAAATAATTAATACCTTCTTATTTTTTTTAAATTTGTTGTATCGTTATGTTTATTTAATTTAATTATTTTAATTAACTTCCATGGTTATGAAAATTATTTTATTACAACTGGTTGCTTTTCTATGTTTTTTTTTTTTTAAATAATGCATAGTTTAAAAATGCTTCATTTCAGTTTATGGGGTAATCATAATATGTTTAAATTTGTTAAAATCATAGCATCACATCTGAGGAATGATTTATTTTTATGTATGTGAAGTTTTTTAGTTAGTTCTTAAACATTATAAGATGTTATAGGGGTCTGAAAAATTTTTGTGCCCGGGGGGGGGGCTGCATGCTATTAAGACTGCTTGGGGAAACAAATCAATTTAAGATTTATCCATCCGTGCTGATGCCAGTTCTTGTTGCAGTATGATAATAATATTGGCGCGATAGTGTAGAGCAAAAAAGGCTATAAGATGTAAGAGTCCACACAAGATCGTCAAGCCAGCTGTAACCCACTGTTGCAGATTTCTTCTATCACGGATTGTATCTTGGCAACACTGGAAAAATGAAGAATAAAAAAAGGTTTGTCAACATTCAAGTGTAATGAACGAAAGACAATGACATTCAACTTACAAATTAAGCAATGTGATTGTCAGCGAAACGAGCCGATTCGACAGCTTATCTACAAACCATTTTAAAGTAAATAATCATAAATGTTTTTTTTTTAAATGGTGGGTACTTGGGTCTATTTCCCATTGGTGTAAAAAAATGCCAGAATTGCTACTCTCTTATCGTTACAGTTCGTGGAGAACTTTTCGATGGAACTAATCCTCATCTACGTTACATGGAGAGAAAAACCACGGGAAACTCCCAAGGTTAGCCTGATGGCGAGGGGACTCTAATACATGATTCGTCTGCCACTGAGGGTATTTTACGTCAGCGCTGTGGTCGGTGTGAGCCGGGTGCGGAATTCGAACCAGCCAGCCATTGCCGGGATTTGGAACCGGTTCACCTCATTGGGAGGCGAGCACTCTATTCTCTGAGCCCCCACGGCTTAAGTTTATAAGTATTACTTTTCGCTTCAGTTTCTTTTTTTTTTTTGGATTATTCATTTGGTAAAGATTATAACTGGTAAAGATTCTCCACAACCTTCTTTAGATTAACGAGAAGATCGCCAGATTTTTGCCTGTATTACTGGGAAAAGAAAAAAAAAAGAATTTTTTTTCTTCTTCGAATTTCATCCTCCAAAATGAACAGCTTTACAATTCTAATTTGCAATATATTTTTACCCCTTTCAAAAAGCATACTATCCTTTTATTTTATATAAAAACATTAATGGCCCTTGAATTGAGGTATTTAGCGTTGAAGGGCAGCAATTAAATAGTCATGTAAAGGCTTATGCTATTTTTTAAGTCTATAATTTTCTCTCTTTCTTTCTATTTCATCTATATGATAAAATAGAAAACAAGATTTTCAGATTTTCAACAGTAAAAATAAATTAAAAAAATAATAATAATAAATTCTGATAACTATGTAATGAAATATCGAATATCAACTGCTTACAATATGATGCGTGTTACTACCTACCTACCAAAAATTCGAATTGTTTCTACAATTTAATGCGAGGTCCGTTTTTGCTGCATTTGTGTTATTAACCATTTGAGTCCCAAGCATCGTGTTGTTGAGATTTTATGTCGAGAAAACCAAGTACATTTCGAACATTGTGGACAACTGACCGTGCATTACCGATTGTCGAAGTGGCGCGCTCAGATTTGCTGAAGCAAGTACATCACACAGCACCTTTTAATGTAAATAGTACACTTTGCAATATGTAAAATAATACTATAATAATGCAATAATACATTGCAAAATAAATTTTTTTATTTCATTTTTATCACTCTCCTTGGAAGTATTCAAAATGCGTTATCTTTTGCACTTTACAGGAACAATTTAGTCGTCACCGTCGTCAATATGATCACATGGATTTGCGATTATGCTCATGGATTTTCCTTTTCGATTCATTCTACTTTTTGGGGGATGCACCAAATTTAAAAAAAGGTAAACAGTAAATCTAGATTAATTTTTTACTTACTTTTTGCGTTGCTTCGTCGAATCAGTTTGAAACACACAATTATTTACAATGAGAAACACTTAAGCAAGAATACGTCTAATCGCTTTGCAAACTGTGATGGAGCGATGAGAAAAAGACGCGTTGTTGTTGACGTATGTCATTAAGGCAGAGGGAGTGCGATTGTTCTTGTTTTCCAGTGGCGCCATCTATGGACAAGAATTCGACTTCTGCCACACCCATACGTCACACCCGTTACCTGGTAAAAGACGCGTTAACTGACAAATACAAGAAGAGCTATTGCTCCGATTGGGATTAATCGATATGAAATAAACAGAGTGCTATCGCGCCGCTGGTATTTCTCGACATAAAAGAAAACAAGCGCTGTCACGTTGCTTGGGTGTTTTCGTACTCATTTAGAGAAAGCGTTGTTTGGGATTCTTCGACAGTGCTTTTTATACCTCTTGGGGCTCAAACGGTTAATTAAGCCTTGACAGGGATAGATAAAAAGCTTTATATTTTTACCTGCTGATACAAATTGCGAAGATCAGTGACGTCATAAAATGGTGGAACTCCGATTTCGCATCCCGGTACACTGCAGCAGGATTCGGGAACTACAAGATTCGAATGTTTCTTCCTTTCTGCTTTCCACCAGGGAGTCTCGAACCAGTCTTTGTAGGATTTCGATCCGCAGCATTTGTTCTGACATCAAACGAGATATGTTTAAGTTTCATGCGTTCAAAAAATAAACAAACGAACTTTGCAATTCGTTTGGTGGTTTATTGTCAGTAAATGGATGTAGGTAG